CTCGGTAGTTCGGGGGCTCTCTACACTAGGTCTTGGGAACGTCCTGTATGAAAGGAGAGCCCTACACCCTTGTCGGGGCCTCCATCTGTTAACCTGCTCAGGCCCACTCGATCATTCCGGGGCCCTCCATGTTGTGTCTTGGGTGCCTCTTATTCGAATGAATGACCCTACGTTCTTGGCGGGCTCCATCTATTAAGCTGCTCGGGCTGGTAGCGGATACAGAGGAGGGATGGGGACAGGCACGGATCATGCCACCATGTGCCTCGCGAGGACCCATAGGATCCGAAGAGGCACATGACTAACCGAATGGACGTAGTCTTCTAACACAAAACACGGCATACTTCGCTGATTGAAAAGATGGTTGGGGAAAATCTTGGGGCTCATGGCGCTGTCCAGAGGCCTTACGCCGTCAACCGGGCTCTATATGTCCAGTTACTAGGTCACTCTGACCGCTAAGGAGCCTTCCACGTTACCCTTGATCTCTTTGCAGCTTCTCATAGGGCCTGCGCTATTCTGACATACGGTCTGCTTACATGACTGGGTACTCTTGATCGATCCAGTTTTCCTCCGCGGATTCTTCTAATTTGCTGAAAGACTCCACACACTTTGTCCGGGGCCCCATATGCCAGAGTACACTAAGTCGCTCAATGACCCTCCACATTGGTGTCGGGTTCTCTCCACTTGTTCGCAGGGCCATGTGCTGTTGCTGGGGCTCGTATAAGGCACGGTGCCGAGCCACGCGATGTTCAGGGGCCGTCTTCTTTGAATCAGGACTCCTTCCCCTTGATCCCAATTGCGGAGGACCCTTCACCTTCACCCTTCACTTCGGGGCCCTTTCTGTTCACCTGCCCGGTCACTCTTGATGATACAGGGACATTCATTCAGTACACTGGTCTTCGGTAATCCTCCTCAGCTCAGAGGGCCCTGCGCTCTGGCCGGGGTCCGGCATGTCAGCCAGGGCACTCTCCATCGCTCAGGGACCCGTCACGCTGGTCTTGGGTTCTTCTCGTTTGCTCTGAGAACACTTTACTTGCTGACGGGAGCTTCTTGTTTGGCCTCCCACGACACACGTGATTGCTCAGGTTCCGTCCCTATGGCCCTTGGTGCCTTAGCCTTATAGCAGCAGTCGGATATGCACCGATTAATTTTTACGCGCAGCTGTCGAACGTAATTTTATGTGCCGCCAACGTCGCATGTGCCATTTCACTTGGCTATTGAATGTGCGACTATTATCATACTTGCGCACAACGTTATCAATGCATTTTGAATGCTACGATAATTTGTACTCATTCACAACAAAGGGAAAAAACTGCATGAGTCATCAGCCATCACCTAATCACATCGACCGGCCGGCTCGGCGTAAATAAGCTAAGAATCAAGTTCCCGCTTGATTGTGATGGCATCAGGCAGCCAGCTTTAGTTTATTTCGCATGTTTTTTTTTCTCGAAATAGCAGGTCTTATATGACACAATTTTCTATGATCTGGACCAAATGGATAAGCTCCATACGTGTGCATGCGTGACACGCCTAGCTTTCTAGGGCTTCGCGCAGGAATGTGGGTTCCTGCATTATGCATATATGTATATATGTAGTGTTTAAACTATTTATTTTAAGAATCATATGGCCGGAATCCGATATTTTTGGAGAGGGTCCCACACTCTACGGGGCCACAATGCCGTGTGTCCCGCCCCCTTGACGAAATCCTGGGCTTGCCTCTGCATCCAACACTGTCCTTGGTCGGCTCGGACCCCTTGTCACCACAAGACTCCTGTTAGACACTGCGCGCCCAGACAGATACAGGGGCTCCAGCAAGTGTAAATGTCTGGCCCGGCTTTGCCACTGCCTGGGAAGTGGGCCCTCAGGCCCATAAAGACACGGGGCCGACTGTGCAATACTGGTGGTACCTGGCCGACATAAAGGCCCCTATCACATCAGACGGTCCCCGATCAGTCCAAAGGGCCTCTAACTGCCATTGAGGGCCCGTCCCTGCAAGCCGGGCCCTTTCATAGGGCTACGGCTAGCCGTTCCTACCCTTAGGCCCTCCAATCGAAACCTTGATCGTCGCTCCCGGTGCGCCCTCCAGCTTTTTCGGGCCTCCTTAAACGCTGCCTCTGGCGGAATCGTGGCCCCTTACCAGCACAGGGCCCTTGTTGGTCACTGTAGGCTCCGGACAGACGTTGAGGCCCTGCCTATGTAAATCGTTAGCCCGGCTTTTCCCCTGCTTGGAAAATAGGCTTTCAGGCCCGCGCTAAGACGGAGCCGACTGTGCGGTATTGGTGGTGTATGACCGACTTATAAGCAATTGTCGACTCAGGGGACCCCCGATCGAAATGGCGTGCCCCTTCCGCGATGTCCACGGCGTTGTAAGTCGCGGGGGCATGCAGGAGCATATACCGGACTTTGTAATGGAGAATGGGGCGTAAGTAAAAGCTTTCACTGAAATAAAAGTGCGAAATATCCTGCATTATGATATAACACTTGCCTTCATTCTACGCATTATTGTTCGGATCGTAAAAATTTAGCAGTAGAAATCTCTGGACCTGTACAAACTTGATTTGGGAGGGGAACGAGATCCCAGTGGCTTCCCCCTCGTGAATACGTCTTAGAAGAGCCGTGTCAAGTAAGTATAATGTCCTGATATTTTGCTGTATCACTTGCCTTACGCGAGTCCACGTGACAAGTGGACTTGCATCATACATTTCCGAGTGTCTGAGGCTGTGGTAGACAATCACCCACGCATTGACAGATGTGGGGAACGCCCCCCCCCCCCCCCCCCCAACATCCCCATGATGCCGCTGTCCTGGCTTTCGGTGGCTTGTACCAGTAAGGTTGCACTGTTTCCGAAAAAATGCTTAGCTTAGACTATGTGAACAGCTGATGATCATACTTTTCCAGATTGCCGCCTCCCCAAGGCAGTTCATCAGCGTCACATCACCTACATATGATCAACCTTGATGCAGTTGATGCAACTACGCTGTGACTCGAAAACTCTTCATCCAAACGTCGGACGATAAAGAACCGCAGGAGGTACAACGGCCTTTAACAGGCCGTGGCTCTTCTTGACATGCTTCCTAATAACCGTTGCTTGATAACGCGCCTCTTGATAACGTAGGGTCAAATTTGGGTCGGTTAAGTCAAAGTAATGTTAAAGTGATGACGCTGATTGGGGTTTTAGGGCGCATCGACGCCTGAGGTCAGCTTCCGCCGAAAGCTTAATGTTAAGAAAGTCTCCAGGTTTTGGAGCGCGATTTGAAGGGTCTGGAATGCACCTGCAAATCCTGCTCCAGGAGGGCGAGGGGAGTACAGTCTCCCAACTTATGAAGATTGCATGATATGAAGTTACGAGTCACGCCAGATCGAGTTGGTATTAAGTTGTTTCAAATCTCAGAAATAGGGAGATGAACACTTATTCCTGGCATGGCGACACTTTGTTGTTGTTTATTGGTATTTTCGGGCGCATCGACTGCAATAGTGATTTTGCACCCATAACGATGTTTTTACTTAATCAGCGTGGTGTGAAAATGACTTCAGAGTCAATATCTTTTAATTAAGAACTAAGAAGTTGTTTGGACTCAAGGAAGGAGGCTTTGTCAGAGCACATCGCCAATTGTCAGGGGCGAAGCCTACGGACCAGTGACGACGTTGTTCTTCGATGAGGCGCGGACACGGTACAATTACATGGTGGACAGTGAAAACGGCACCACGTCGATGGCATAGGGGTCTGTCGGCTCCAAGCAACAGATGGCCATGGGTGGCATACGTATACCTAATACGCAATCTGTATAACGCCACTTCTTCCCGCCGGTCGCTGCGAGAGCAAGATGGCCACTATCCCCACTGGGTTTGTACCGCTCTGAGCTTATTACCGCCAACCTGACCCCAGCAGCGCTGCAAGTTGCTTTTGGGGAAGGTCTCGACTGCCGGGTAGAAGTCTCTGGCGGAAAACGGCAAAGACCGGTTACATGGTGCCACTGCTGTTCGCTCAGCAGCGGCATCAGCCTCCTCGTTGCCCACGATATGGACGTGACTGAGGATCCAGCGCAGGGCAACTCTCTTTCCGATCCGATTCAACTGCGTCAGATGTGATAAAAATGTCTTGTATAGGGGGACATGATGAATAAAAAGACTTAAGTGCAGAGAGATTGCTCAGTGAATCTGTAAAAATGGCGCGCAATATTCGTCACCAACTTCCATGAAACATACCGTCTTGGTAATCGCAATCAATTCCGCTGTGAAAACTGACGCTTAGGCCGGTAACGGGAACGATCGAGTGACGGAACCGCTGACGAACGCACAGCCCACGCCACCAGAGGTGTTGGATCTGTCCGTACACGTCGGAGTGTATCTTTCACATGACGCCAGAAGCTCGTGCCCTGGATCTTGTCAGGTTTGGTGACGTCTTGTTTTCCTAATTTCTGTGAGCGAGATGTCTATTAAGGATATGGTCACCTGCCAAGGAGGAGCCAGGTGGCTTGCTTGCTTTCCACCTTGAAGAGGAGTTTCGCTCTCTTGCAACAAGGCTATCACTCGGAAACCGAAAGTTAAAACATGCTCCTGCTACCCATGACGAAGGGAGCTCACAGCATACCGAGAACATGCTGCAGGATATGTCGGATGTGACGGGAACTGCCGCAACTTCATGACATAACGTATGCCAAGCATTTTTCTCCTCGTCGACAGTGGTGGCCCGTGTGCCTCCACGAAAAGACTGACAGAAGGTGACGTGCGGAACACCCCAGCTACAATACGAATGGCGGTATGGTGAGCCGCATCAGGAGCACGCGCGCTGGCGGCATAATGATACCATGGGGACAAAACGTAGAACAGAACCCCGCATTTATTTTCAAATACTGATTGTTTCCGACAGCAATTACGCTTTTTGATGTAAAACGCTTCGTACGGACAAGGCACTTGGAAAACATATTGCTGCCGGCGAGCATCAGCGAGCGGCCCACAAACTCTCTGCCCCCCCCCCCCCCCCCCCCCGCCGCGTCCACAGGTCAGACACCCCACAGCCCCAACCACGCACGACTCAACCGCTGCCCTCTCGGCAGTCATCAAGACCAACACCAGTTGCGCGGGGCAGGAATGAACTATGTGCACACACCGACTCCTGCCTCGCGCGAGAGTTTATCAGCGTTCAGCGAGACGCAACATTTCAACAATTATAACGATACAATAACAGCCCTTCAGCACAGTCCCGTCCCGAGCATGTTTCCAACGAGACCGAGTGGCAACATTGCTATTTTGTACAGAACAGACTGGTTATATGCACTCGAGGTTGCATGCAAGAAAAACCAAAAGTTAAGACACCAGCACTTTATTATTTCCTGAGATCAAGACAACTCTGCCACGCAAAATACTTTGTTTCGAAAACAACACCCAAAATGCACGAGACGGATATGCACACAGCTAAAGCGAAAGACCCATGACAATCCCAGGAAATCGGTTCCGAGCACATTCCAACACAAAGCCTGTTGAGGATAACGATTACCGCGGGACCGAGAACAATCAATGTGAATCATGGCAACGTTACGCCAAGAGCTTGGTAACACTATGGTGACCAGGCGACGTACCTTAAAGTGCAAAACTCGAACAACAGCCTTTATGTCTTTAGAAACCCAGGTGACAGAAGATCAGCGTCAGCCATCGACAGGGAACTCAGAACGTGGCGATAGGAGCAACGTAAGTCACACAACACGTAAAAAGCTTGGCACATTCCGGCACGTTACAATTGCTCCAACTGTAAGCCGACAAACCCGGCTTACAATTGGAGCCTTTGGAAGCATGGCCGACGGACGAGCCGGACGTGGAATAAAACAAAAGGGGAGACAACGCACTTTCGTGCAGAACAAAAGGGAAGGAGACTAAGCGAATATGACGGACGGCAAAATAGTCGCCCACGTCAAGTAATAGCCCACATGCCTACGATGACACAGAAAGACATGATCATTCACCATAGGTGTCACCCACAGTGAGCATTTACCGCGTGACTGGTAAGACGAGCTCTCCCCAACCGACCACGACACATACTGATTTGGACCCTGTGTGCCCATAACACATACGCCTGCAAACGCACCAGGAGTGTCCCAAACGCCCAGAGTTAGCCGACACTGACGGCAGCGACGGGCTGAGCAGAGGAGCTAGCTGAGGCCCGCCGCGTCGAACATGCCACGGGCACACCACACGCTGCCGCACCCAGCGATGGAAGCGCTCTCAAACCAGTATGCAACACTTCTTGGACATGCAACTCCAACCAAATCAACCAGCCACACTGATTTCATATTTAAGTTCGTTTCCAATCAAAAATATCACTCATTCTTTAACCCAAGAGCGTGGAAAATATCCGTATAACTGAGTACAATCCTCACTTTTGGATGCCGAAGTCAGCAGAGGACCTGGCTGAAGTATACGGTTCGTTTGTACATCCGACTACGAGGTGGACCCGTGCGTGCATAATGAGATAGTGCAGGATACAGAAGACCTCCACCAAAAGAGCCAAAGCAGTGCGTTCGGCGACAGGAGCCGGCTGTCCGGTCTGGGGTCTGCCGGGGCCCGAGTGAGTGCATGGCGTCACGGTGCGACCTTTCTGACCGCGCTCCCGCCACCGTCAGCCTGGCGGCGGAAAAAACAGTCAGAGTTCGTCTGACGCCCACCAGGCGGCAGAAGACGAAGCTGGCAAATAGCCGAGTCATGCACCGCTAAAGATCAGCGAGTAAGCAGATAGCTGTGCAGAGCGAACACAAATATAGCACGTTTGACGACAAGCAGCGAGCCAAGATAACCAAACCAGAAAGAAAAAACAGCTTCAGAGCCTTCGCGCTGCTCAGAGCATAGGTAGCCTGCGCACTGCGCCGTCAGCGGCCGCCTCACACCTTGAGCGGGATGGCGGCGACGACCGGCGGCTGGTAGCTGTACATAAACACGGCTGACAGCACCATGGCCGTACCCGCCACGAACATGACCGACAGCTGGAAGTCGAATAGGTAGATGGAGACGATGCACGAGATGATGATGGCCAGCGAGGTGGCGAAGCCCTTCAGGATGTTGTCGGCGTACTTGACCACCACGGCCACCAGCAGGCCGCCCATGGCGTTCTGGAAAATGACGCACCACACGACCCAGTCGAAGCCGAACAGGAGGCCGTTGTCGGCGATGCGGCCGCCGTCGCTGAGCAGGCCGGTGGCCAGCGCCAGCGGCAACGACAGCGCGCTCAGCTGCACGTTTCGGATCCAGACGCTCACGTCCGAGCCCTTCAGGATCTTCTCGAAGTAGATGCCGGCGAATCCGGACAGCACGCAGGCGGCGAGGGCGCAGCTGAAGCCGAGCAGCTGGCTCTGGGCGGGCGCGTCGGCAGTCGGCCGCGCCGGCTCGGCCTGCGCCAGCTGCACCAGCGCCACGCCCACCAGCAGCACGAGCAGTGCGCACCACTGCAGCGGCCGCAGTGAGCGGCGCAGGATCGTTACAGAGAACACGGCCGTCGTCAGGATCTTCAGCTGGTAGGTCACCTGGCGGCCAGCCGAGCGCGTCAGCACGCCGCTGCGCCCGGCGGCTGGGAGTGCGAGTGTCCAGGGGCCGCAGGGGCCGAGGGTAGGTGGGTCAGTGCACGACTGATGCTCAGACAGAACCGTAACACATAATTCCTCCTCACGAGCGCGATAACTTGAAGGCGCATGCACCCACTGCGCTATACACTGTCAGCGGTGATATGATAACTTGGGCCTCCAGGCGCTACCGAACATCTAAAGAGGAGGTACCCTATGTTGATATGGAAGGCTAACTCCGCCCTGATACGTGACAGTAGTACATATCCATGGGTTCATTTCATTAAGCATCGCAGCTGGATTCTACTGGTGCCTAGTAACTAATAACCACTGGTGCAGAGTAACTACCTAGTAATTCGTAACCCGTTGACCGCCACAAATACTGAGGAGGAGGCAGCTCCATCCAGACGTGCCGCGAGCATGAGTCGAGGGATCTCCCAGCTGCGCCCACTCACCACGCCGCGGCCAGTTGTAATGATGGTGATGATTGGTCCGCCTCACCTGGTAGGTAGCGGCGTCGAGATTAGAGGCGGCCACGTACAGCAGGTTGTTCTGTACGGTGTAGATCAGACTGGGCACGCCCACTTTGAGCGTGTCCAGCTTCTGGTCGAGGATCTGCGTCTTGATGGCCAGCCAGGCGCGCGAAAGCGAGCCCTCCGAGGTCGGCAGGATGGCCAGACACGTGACCAGCTTCACCAACTCGCCCATCAGCACGGCTGCCGGTCACACGACCCCTACGTTAGCTGGCGTCTCGCCGGGGGAGACGAGACCGATGGTTCAATGAGCTAGCTGGGATTCGGATGTAGCTCCGAATGATGATGGGGCCGGCGATGAAGGAAAGCCGGATGTTTAACGCTTTTTACGCGATTTCGATACAACTTTTATTTCACAGATTTACTGTAAACCCATTGCCTGCATGAATTTCTGAGATCAGCGACCACGCTAAGCAGCGCTTGTTGCACAAGCAGTGGCCTCAACATCGCATCGTGAAATCCAGCCCTTTAAACACCACCAAGCACACAAAGGCGTCCATTGTGGGTCATTATGTGCGACACTGCCCATTTCTGAACATTGTACAGAACTAAACAAACATTTTGGTGAAACTTGGCGGGGTGCTTTGGTTAAGTTCGCCATATATTTTATACTTTTCCATATGTCACACGTCAGTTTGCACGTACGGCGCACGCATAGGGGTCATTGATAAGCATGCCTTAACATGTACGTTGGCAACGCATGTCTGTATCATAATAACTGCTGTTTATGTAGGCGTGGACTTTTTTTGGTCCCTTGGGCGACGCAATAAAACCACAGAAGCGTTTTACGTGCAGGCGCCAGCATATGTACGCATATTGTATGGCGTCCTATGCTGACAATTCGCCTGGGTTTTGGAGCTCACAACTCCAATCCGTTCTGTAACATAGGTCCTGGTGCTATCTGCCGGCTTTCAATCGGCACGTCACCATGCGACTGCGTCACAGCAACCACTGAATTCCCCTGGAGGGGAGCCACAGCCGGTACACGCGACATTATAGCTTACAGCATCAATAAAAGAACACCTATCGTCTTGTCCGAGCACCTGTCTCCGCCATTTTCCCCACAACGGCCCGAACGTAGCGGTGCGATGGTGCGCACACAGCTGCGCAATGACGCTTCTTCCCCCCCCCCCCCCCCCCTCCTCAATCACCTAACCCTCCATCCCGCGCTCACCTGCGCGTAAAACGACTCGTGAGACGAAGTCGAGCTCGCGTTTATCTGCTGATATACATGCTGATGTTTACGCCCCACTCCCAGCAGCGCGAATCTGTATTCCACGGGATTTCACAATCCATCTACCACGACCACATATGACACGCGACTTACATAAACGTGGGCAACATCAATGGCACTCGGTCATATGATGCTCATCATTATGACTCCCACCATCGCCCTCTAGCAAAGCTCCACCTTCCCGACTGGCCGATGAGGCGACTGCGGAGCGCACCGCCGCCGGCGGCCGCTGACCTGAGGTGGACAGGAACATGTCGCCGGGCCGGGTGCGAACGTAGCGGGTGCAGAGGCCGAGCAGCGCATTCTGTACGGTCAGCGTCACCAGGCTGATGTACTTCATCGATGAATCTGAAGGAGAATGGCAGGTCGGGCTGCACCAGGTCAATTTGATAAAGTGGGGCAGAACCAATTCCCACCCGAAGAGACGAAGTTGAAAGGGCAAAACATGAAGTGATATATGCAAAAATAAGGTGGAACGGATCTGAAACAAACAAAAAACATCACACAAACTTCTGTGATACAGAAGCGATGGCAAGAGATGGCTATCACTGTCTGTTTCATTTGGCCTCTATTCCATCACTGGTCACCACCCACCTTTATTCATCACCACTTTACCCCCCATTTGGCACCTGGCAAACAGGGACTGGCAAACCCTTGATGAATATTTGCATACACCATGACGGTGCTCTCAAACACTACTTGTATCCAACCAAACTTATCCTTACCATACCACCAGTTTCCATCTGGACCTATGCATATATTTTCCCAGTCTGCCTGTCACCCTTGGGAAAGTGTTTGTTAACACAATAAATGGAAGAACTGATATTGGTTACACATAAGCATCAGCTGATGTAAAATCAGCAACACAATAACAATCCTGAAACTAGGTACATATTTTTACTATGGTACATTTATTGTGGCTTTAAAAGCCCAAGAAACAAAAAAGGGCTTCAGTTCCCGCATACATAAAAGTTGTGGAATACTGACTCACAATGCCAATATGGTGTACCAACTACTAAGGTCATTTTGCACCAAAATTAATGTTTACTTTTACCTGAACAGCATGGAAATGGTGCATCCCCCAGAAGCTTAATTTGTGATCCCCCATTACATGTGGCTGCTGACAGCTTACCTTTGGTTTGAGCCATAGTGCAGATAGAAGAGGCTGCTGCTGTCCACCAATTCAGCTCATCCAAATGAAATGCTGTCAAAACCAGCCCTGAAAAAGGACTGCCTGTGACAATGTGGCACACTGTGCAACATGTCAGCACATGAAGATAAAAAATCAGAGTCAGCATGAACTAAATTTATGCATGTTCACAATCACTACTACCCAGGACTATACATGTATATGATCCTGGTGCATGCAACCATTTCAAATGTGTTATGGAGGGTGTGTCAGCCCAATATGAAGCTAATTTCCATTTCAGAGCATGTATAGGCCTGATGAATAACCACCCCACAATTTAGAAGGGTGGATATGCACAGCCTTCCTTCATTGCACAAAGTACAGTGAGCCTGGTTATATGTTTATGTGCATTTGCCATCTCATGAGACATTGACTTGTGCCCTGACCACAAAACCATAACCTACGGTACACAATTTGTTACAAAGTGACGAACGTGTTTTGTATTTGGTTTGATGTGTTATACTGGGACAGGTAGAAAACAACAAGACTTGCTGGTTATGTCTAGTAGATGATGTGTTTACAGGCAAGCAGCCATCAATGACCAGGCCCCAGTCTACCACAAAATCCTTATCCCAGACATGTCTAGGGTAGCAGCACATTCTTTGCAATACCTTTACATGCATGTATATTATAAATACAGGTCAGGGTATACATTGCTATCTCATTTTAAAAAAGAGCATTGCGCATCAATCGTTGTCTTTAAGGCAGAACATATCGTAATTAATCGTAAAACAGGTCATCTAAACTCTTACCTTGGAACTTAAATAGCTACGATATCAAACATCAGAGCGCCACAAACACACGGCAGCAACCGCGAGCCTGACGCTACGCGTGATCACAACATTACTGCCCATCGAGAACCATAAAAATGTACGGGGTCAAGGTAACAAGAATCCAATGAATTTGTTTCTTGGGTATCCAAAGCAGCCTTCCGCACTGTTTGTAGATTGGTCAATATGGTGGGCAAATATGATGTATTTGGGTGGGGAATGAAAAGCAAAATGAGAACATGGCAGCTAAACAAAGCTTCTTAATGTGGTATGTATATATGGCATGGAACATGGATGCCAATGGGACATTGGGTTGAAGGGGATAGGATGGGGAGGTTACATTAGGTTAGGCAAATTTAGGCTAATTTAGACTATGCTCCGGACTATTCTGGCCTGTCTGTTTCATCAACGTAGCTGCATGCCATAACAAATGTATTTCATTATTAGTGGTACCTGGGTCCCATACATTCTTTATCGTTCTAGATAAGCAGAAATATTGCAACCACGCAATGATAACGCAGAAACAGCCCTGGGAGTTGAGGCGGTGGAGTGTGAGCGGCGTTCGGGAGCTTGCTGTCGTAGTTATTGAAATTCAAAGGTAGGAGCATGAATCTACCTGTTTTGTGATTATTTACTAGATGTTCTGCCTTAAACATGACAAATGATGCAAAATAACTTTTTCTAACATTAGACACCAAGGTCAGGGTATACATTGCTACCTCATGTTAAGAAAGAGCAGTGTACATCAATCGTCGTTTTTAAGGCAGAACACATCGTAATTAATCGTAAAACAGGTCATCTAAGCTCCTACCTTGGAACTTAAATAACTATGATAGCGAACATCCGAGAGCAAACACGCAGCAACCACGACCCCAGCGCCATTTCTACGCGTGATCGCAACATAACTGCGTGATCACAACATTACTGCGCATCAAGAATCATAAAAATGTATGAGGCCAAGGTAACAAGAATTCAATAAAATGTGTTTCTTGCATATCCAAACAGTCCTCCATATTGTTTGAAGACTGGTCACATGGTAGGGAAATATGATGTTTTTGCATAGGAAGGAAAAGCAAAATGAGAATATGGCGACTAAACAAAACTTCTTGATACAGTACATATGTATGGCATGGAACATGGATGCCAATGGGACACTGGGTTGAAGGGGATAGGGTGGGAGGTAGGTTAGGTTAGGCTAGGTTAGGTTAGGCTAGGTTAGGCTAGGCTAGGTTAGGTTAGGTTAGGTTAGGTTAGGTTAGGTTAGGTTAGGTTAGGTTAGGTAGTAGGTTTGGTTAGGTTAGGTTGTTAGGTTAGGTTAGGTTAGGTTAGGTTAGGTTAGGTTAGGTTAAGTCAGTCAGGTCAGGTCAGGTCAGGTCAGGTCAGGTCAGGTCAGGTCAGGTCATGTCAAGCCAGGCCAGGCCAGGCCAGGCCAGGCTAGGCTAGTTTAAGCTATGTTCTGGACTATTCTGGCCTGTCCATTTCATGAACATACCTAGACATGGTAAGAAGCATTTTTCATTGCATTATTATTGTTACCATGGTCCTGTGCATTTTTTTTGGTTCTTGATAGGCAGAAATATGGTAAAACAGCACTGAGGAGTCAAGGCGGTGGGATGCGTGCAGCGCTCAGGAGCTCGCTATCGTAAATATTAAAATTTGAAGGTGCGAGCATGAATCTACCTGTTTTAAGATTATTTATGATATGTTCTGCCCTAAACACGACAAATAGTGTACAATTATTTTTTCTAACATTAGGTAGGAATGTATACCCACACTAGCACCAAAGTATACCTACACCTAAATACACGCTCTCAGAATGAAGGATGCATAAGCACTAGTTTTGGCCAGATGAGTCAATATTTAAAGGAAATGTGACCTTGAAAAGGTAAGTTCAGGCAACACTACTACAGAAGCATTTTCACTCAAAATATAGAGAAAATTACATGCAAATTGACACAACCTGAGCTCCAAATGCAAATCTTCAGGGTTCCCTGCACAGATGACCAAAAGCGTGTGGCGGAGCAAATGGGTACCATAGCAGACTGGACCAGGCCGAGCAGCTTACGTTAAAAGCCGGGAAACGATTAAAGCCAGCAGGCCTTATAGCTGGCTTTCCCTGCAGTCACCAAAGGTGACGATATCTACCCATATGGCACAGGGACATACAAAGGTATTGTCACGCTCACTCACCACCTGTTACGATTTGCAAAGATCCCGAGGGATGCCCACAAACACCTCCACTTCCGTGAAAGACGTCCCAGAAAATCCAGCAGGCAACATTGAGTTTGAACAGCACGGAATAATGGCGCACCTTTGACATTCACTTATACGTTAACCTTGAATCTTCACCACGTCCACAGTTTTACATAACATTTCTTGAATATACATTTCCTTGTTAAAGAGCAGATTCACCGTTGCCGTATTCGTTCCAATTGGATCATACCCCTTTTGATTGGTTGAATTTGTGGAAGCGCCGTCTATGCGAGCTCTTTTCGATCAGAATGATACAGTTTCTCTACCCTCTCTACCCATGGAGAGAATTTACCACCGGCTGTGAAGGTTTTCTTGTACACAAATTAAGACGGAAAATGCGCATGTTGTACAATGACGATCCCACACCTTACCATCGCACCTGCATAGCCAAAAATTGAGTGCGTTGTTGGATCTGGGAGGTCGGGAAGTCCAAGGCCGTTGAAAGATAGTCGTGTTTTAAAGTATCCCTGTTCGCGTGAGGGGAGTGACGAGCGTGCGTGGTAAGGATGATCCCGTGGATGTGACGACCGTGATACACCTGGCTAAGCTAAGAATATGGAGTGTGTATCGCTACATTGGGCTGTGTATGTTTGGTTCCCTATTCCTGTGATGTGACAATGGAACTGGATCTACACCAATATGAGCATGTCTTTGTGGGAATAAGCGAAACGTTTTGCGTGCTTAATATGTGGGAAATGAGAGGGGCATATGGTCTCATCGAAGGTTGTCAATGTTACACACAATAATAATGAAAAATTTGTTGATGCATGCTAGCATCACATGAACGTGTTTGAGTCAACCAATGGGAGGGTCACACCACTTGACCCTCTGAATGTCTGGCACATTACTGTGCACCTACTTACCCTGCCTCAAGTTACATGAATGCATGAAGACAGCCAATTATTTGAATCTGGTAAGAAGGAGGTGCAGATTTTGATAATTTTCTAAATTAATGTGCCTTGGTTTTAAACATATTTGTTTTATTTAACATGGCCCAGCTTTGTTCATTCATGGTTACCAGCACAGGTGTTAATATTGAGGATAGAAAATATAAGCTATGCCTGCTTGATAATGTTGTGTAGTTTTGTTTTGTTGGAGGTCACAGCACCAGCTTTTCTCAGAATGCTGTAAAATGAGGAGCTTACAGCTTTTCTTGCTTATGTCTAGTGTTTGTCTCTCTTAATTTCTTCTTGAGTAAGCATGTAAGTTGTCTGCAATTGTGCCAGGGCTATTCATGAGGGCTTCCATTCAGCACAAACTTGCTAACTGATAATGTTGTCTGACAAACCATCCTGCATTTAAGCAAGCATCAAGTTGTACATACCACTGAAATATGACATGAAGAGTAATAATTTGGTTTTATACAGCAGTTTATGACTTACTGCAAAGCTCATGTTCACTGCCAGTCAAGACAATACAATGTTATTTATGCTCCACAGGACTGGAGTGCACATATGACACAAGGATTGGTATGATGGCTTATGCACTTACAGTAAGATATTTGATATTAACCAATGCTAAAACCCCTTACATGTTAGACTATAATGAGCATTTATCACTAGATCATCAGATGAGCTTATTCTAATTGTGCAGTTTTTGGAGCAGCAAAGCAATGATAACTGCAAAACAACCTGAGGTGTTTTTAGTCTTTGTTTCATGTATGTCTTTTGGTCAGCTATATAGTATGTAAAATCAAGGTAAATAACATAAATTGGTGCATGGTTAGATCTGTGTTTAAATTAAAATGATGTCCAGATTTTCCTATTTGCTTCTGACACTTTCTGCAGTTTTGTAGATGGCCTGACTTGTGGTATATGGACAGTTCTTTATCACAGCATATACATAAATTCCATTTTTAGCAAGAAGCATTTTTGCTGTGTGTTATTATGCCTTTGATTACTTACTTTGGATTGTTAAACCACAAATGTATTATGGAGATGAAGATTATATTTTAACCCTGATCTGCATGAAATTGTCTATGTACTGAAACATGATCATCTCAGACTAGTTGTGTTTTAGCTTGACCAGTCTCATCATCATATGGAGATGAACCCCAGGAAATTCTTAGAAGTCCCTTAATGGCTGTGTTGTTGGCTTGGCTGTGAAATGAATGGAGGGCACTGCTGCTCTTTAAAAGTATCCATAATCTAACTCTTGTGGAGCCATTAAGTTGTATGTAAGCTACATATATTTATCTTGCTTGTAATAGTTTGCACCTCTCTGACCTTGGATGTGCTAACAAGATATGAGGCTAGTAAAAAGTATGTATTTTTACTTTAGAATGCACTCTCATTACCATGGTTGATTGATGGCCCAAAATCCCAGATTGTTATCCATGACAGGGAATGGGGATATAGCAATAAAGTTGTGGGCCACCAAGGACAACCATTTAATATGTTGCATCTTTGGGATGCCCACAGCTATCACTTGGTTAGCATCAACATTGGCCTGGTGATGTCAAATTTGGACAGCTGTGTAGTGAGGATTGATTAACAGAGCAGTTGTGGTTAAGCTAAAACCAAAGTAGAGCCTTTTCTCTTTCAGATTTGAATTTGTGTTGAGATGTTCTGGGATTTTAGCTCACTGTGCAAAATTTCATTGTTTTCATCATTTTAATATTATTGCCAATATTTTATTTTTAGCTGGAAAAGTCCAGCATTTATATAGCTGTTGTTTGATTCCAGGTTATGCACTTGTACATTGTGTTAAAATAAAACCAAAATGCTTGTAAATGGCAAATATTGAAAAGTGTTTTAGTCCCATTTCTGTGATCAATTTGTGGTTAAATTAATTCAAATTCATCTGGCGCCTGGGTGGGTCTAAATGGAACCTGGGTGGGTCTAAAATGACATACCACAAACATCCCCAATGTCACATTGCTCACTGTGGTATATCAAAGTTTCCCAATTTCAGGATGCTTGAAAAGACAGAATATGCTGTGAGTCTGTGCTTGCTGTGATATTGTTGTAAGAGTCTGTGCTTGCCACAACCTTATACACCTTCATGATGACTTGTGTTGTTTGCCCCATCCAGGTCAGACCCATCCTAGTGAAAATCATGTGTGCACAAGACATGACAGAGTGTACCACAAGGCATGTGCAGGGTATACTTGTTCTAGTGTAACATGTTTGTTACCACATGCTATTCAACATATTAAGATTGGTCATTGTTTTTAGGTCAGCATAAAGCTTCATACACATCCTCTGCGTGGACAAAATGCCCTCAAAGCAGAGGAAAGTTGCTGTGTTGGGGTTCCGTTCAGTCGGTGAGTTAACATGTTTTGATGATGCTGATGTGTTGGTTTGCATATTAATACAATGGAGCATTAACTAATTTCATAGATTAACCTGTAAAATACCTTCACTTGCACAACCCAGAATGAGAGGCTTAAGTCATTTTACTAGTTTTTTTTTTTTTGTCTGGCCTGGCTGTGTTGGCTAAGGTTATTATTATATCAGCTGTGTTGAGCTCACTCTCAATGTGTCAAGCAGGTCAGCTAAACTGTTCACTTGTTGAATGCACCGTTCTCCCACATATCATATGTTTGTGTCAAAGTGACAGATCTGATCATGTTGTGCCAAGATGCTCTCTATTTCAAAATGCAAAATCTTGTATTACACTGTCCTCACATATTGCACTTACTTGTTGCGATACAGTATGGCCACATGTTTGTCTGTTGATGAACAGTGTATAAGGAAGCAGCAATCATGACTTTGTATTTGTGATGAATGATGCAAACAGATTCTTTGATTATAATGTGAGGTTAAAGGTTGTCATCTATGGAATGAAATGTGCTTTACATGGTATAGTTACATTTGGCTGAGAGGTTATATTGCATATATTTGAAATCCCAAGTGTTTCAAAGAACTGCTTATACCATATCAGAAGAAATTCTGAGTTGTCATTCAGTTGCCTGTTTACCCCATGTTTATTTGACAGGTGATGGGCCAGACATGCTTTCACCCATTGCATTACTGTCCACAACACCTGGTTTGTCTGATTGTGAGTGCTCTTTCGCTCATGTTGCCAGGTAAATCGTCCTTGTCCATTCAATTCGTCGACAACCAGTTCGTGGACTCGTACGACCCCACTATTGAAAACAGTGAGTATAATGTCAATGTGAGTGAGTATGTCAGTGTCAATGTCAGTGAGTGTATACAATATGTTTTCAAAGTGGGTCAAGTCAGCTGTCTGAATTGTGCTTTCAGAACAATGCCTAAGCTCGCTTGTAATAACCTGGATAATATTGTCTTTTGACATCAGCTTGTACCGTACTATTCGTCATGTTGGATATTTGTCGTTCGTAAAAGCGCAATCCAGTTCAGTTATCGCCACATCTACGGGCTGCGCGGAGCGAAGACATGTTCGGAAGTTAGATTTCACACCAAGTCCAGCAGTCCTACTCGTAGCACCCCTCCGGCCGCGCATGCTGGCGTTCCGCTGTTCGCCCCCGGAAGGCCCGCTGATGAACTGACGCGTCTCCTGCAGCGTTCTCTAAGGTGGTGAAGGTGCGCGGCCAAGAGTACGAGATCAAGATCGTGGACACGGCCGGCCAGGACGAATGCTCCATCATGCCTTCCCAGTACACCATGGACGTCCACGGCTACGTCCTCGTCTACAGCATCAACTCGCACAAGAGCTTCGAGGTGCTCCGCTCCATCCACGACCGGCTGCTCGACCTCACGGGCAAAGTCAAGTGAGCGCGCGCTCCGGCCCCGAACGTTGCCTCCGTGGCTAGGGCCGAGACTGGCTGCTGTTGCAGCGCTCGCAGAGAGGTGGACCACCACGTAGAGAGGGCTCGAACCGAATCGAACCGGGTCATATCCGTTCGCTCCCCCCCCCCCCCCCCCCCTTCCCAAGATGGCTCAAGCTAGGAGAAAATGACAGTTTGCTGCACTGTGAAGAAAATTGAAGCATTTTTGTCCGTGATAAGTTTTCTTTCCTTCTGGTAAAAGGAAGCGAAATTTAATGACCGAAAACCAGAACCGCTTGTTTGTGGTCGGCCCCCGAGGCGGGGGCCCCCCCCCCCCCACGACAGCGTTCTGAATCTGTCCCTACTCGCGCAGTCCGTGTGTGCTCATGAATGGGTCCGGAAGTCTGACGGGCTGCCTCCTGCGCAGTCTGCCGATGGTGCTCGTTGGCAACAAGACTGACCTGCACCGCGAGCGCGAGATCTCGTTCGATGACGGCAAGCGCCTGGCCGACTCGTGGGGCGCCCTCTTCCTGGAGACGTCTGCCAAGCGGAACGAGGTGAGCGGCACCGCCGCCTGGACAGCAGCGCAGCGAAGAGCGGGGAAATGATGACGCCGGTTATGTCTTCGTGAGATGTGTCGCCTGGCCTCTCTCAGGGGATTCGTGTGATGGCGGGCATGTTTGGCGTCCTGTGCATTCTTCACTCGTTTCGGAAGGCGTCTTGTCTTATCTGATGCACGCACTCAGTAATTTCATGTGGCACCCCTCGTGGAAAGGCTTGCATTGTCTTTTCTACCGGAGGTACTTATTTTACCGCAGTGTCCCCGTCTGACATGCTGGATCCGACTGTCTGTTCTGGTCCCACGTGATCCGAAGGACCACATGCAGCGCCGACTGACCCTACTGACCCCGTCCGTCGGTCGTGCGCAGTCGGTGTCCGACATCTTCAACCAGCTGGTGGTGGAGATGGAGCGGGCCGACGGCAACGCCCCCAAGGACTCGTCCTGCGCCGTGCAGTGAAGCCGGCGCGCCGCCGGGCGCGTGGCCCCATGTAGCGGGCGGGGGAAACCGGGCTGGGATGACACGGCGCCTGGCGCCGGCCGGGCGTGCCGATCAAGCTGGCCTTATCGCCGCGTCTGCGCGCGACGGGTGCTCCTGACGGCCGGCGCGGGTGTGGCTGGTGAGACAGGTTGGCGCACAAGTATTGCAATGAGTGTAACGCGCCAGGCAATAACGATTTCCGTGTGTGGTGATGACGAGTGGGTCCAGTTTCTTTGCGTCACGCTTTGCCACTGCACACCGGCGGCCGGACGCGGCAAGGCTGGGTTTATGTACTGATATCGAATCCATTGTACAGACTTCGCTCTTTCATAGCTGTATATACATATGTACCCGTGTACAGTGACGTTGAAATTCTGATTGAGCCATTGATGTTAATTTTATAGTACGAGGGGTACCGGTGGCTCGGCGCCGGGCAGGGATCCGCAGCGTCCCGATCTGCATGTGCCCTACAATGGCAAGGTGTTCGCTCCTGTCAGCCTGAGTGGTCAGGGATTACCTCCAGATGTCGATGGCGAGAGGCTGGTACACGCATAGTAGTATGAATAAATGGCTGAGGACACGTCATGGTTGGTACTGACGTAGGTGTCGCTGTCTTCGTCCGATCACGATTCAGTTCCGCGCGGTTGGATGCTCGCGTTTTGCCCCCCCCCCCCCCCCCCCATGGGCTGAACTGGGTGGGATGGGGCTAGCCTTCCTCCAGGGCGAAGCATAAGTGTACAGGGAGACGAATATTGTGGCTCTTTTAGATGTTAAACAGTCACCCTCCCCTCCCCCCCCCCCCCGCCCCTCATTGGCACATTTCCGTGTCCAGACGTCGCCACGCGGGGTACTACGCTCAGTAAATCGTGAAAATGGTTTGTTAACGCACAATAAAGCACTGCCCCACTGATCAAGCACCACCACACTGCATCCGGCTAGCATTTGATGAACGGCTAAATGCCGAGTCTCAACGATGGTGTGCTCGGACTCTATGGTAAAAGAGTAAAATTGTTTATTCTATCACGCCAAACTAGCAGGGACGCGCGATCCTGGGAGAGAGCTCATCTTGCCTTACCTATTTGACTTAACCGGAGGTGCGCAAAAGGCGTTATCCCTTTATTCTGAAGATAAATATGGCGCTACAGCCCTCGGTTAACTAGGCTCGGTTTGCCACCCTCTCGTAATCGTAGGTTCAGTGTACCATCCCTTGTTTATTGCCGTAATTTTCGCCAAGTGTTGTAAATTAGCAGTGGCATGCCTTTTATTCCTCTCGATATGGCACACTTTGGGATTCAAATGTGACGCAGAAAATGATATGATGACAGCATGACGCGGCGTACCCTCCTTTACTGCTGACTGACTGGTGTGGGTGGCGCGCGGCTGATAAGGAAAATACCGAGGGCAACTTCTTCATCTTTATTTTATATCGCACAGCTTGTACGAGCTTGAGGTTAGTGTGAAAAACAATAGATACTGGGATTGGATCAGCTTGCGATGCATTCAACAGACACGGTCAAACGCAAGGGTATGGTTACTCAGCTATTTATATTTGTTGTAGGTACATCGGTGGTCGCCTGATCATGACATATTAAACTAGGACGTTTTTTAAGTGTCATATATCTTTGGGATCAGTCTAGAAGAACTGCTGCACTGTTTTATGGCCATTGTCATTGATTCCTTTTACATTTGTAGGATGCATGCTCAAACCACAGACCCAGTCTGCAAAAGGTTGCAGACCAGTCCAAGATATATGGGGCAGGTCTGTTTCTGTTCCAAATGAGGTGCCCCACTTCTCTGGCTCAGGGCAGAGGTCCGTGATCTGGTGACTAGGGGTCCTTAAGATATCCTTTCTGTAATGTAATTTGCACTTGTTTTGATGACCCCTACCGCTTGGGATGGGCTGGAATCACACTGAGCCAATCACCAAAATTTTGAATTATCCTTATGTTACGTAACTTACAGCACTGACAAATGTGTGTGCATCTGGAATGCATCATTTCTCAACATGAATGATCAAATCTTTCCTTTTGGAGTTGTGATGCAGACACTAGTGAGATAACACCACCTATTTGGCATGCAGCTTCTACAGCTTATGTACCTGCTCAGAGTAAGTTACAGAAGCTAACATAAGGAAAATGTTATGTACTAATGCAATATTTTTTGTCTGCTCATTTTAATGTTAAGAATGGTTATCTGGCTCTAGGGTGTGAGTGTTCTCATTCACTGCTGTACAGGATGATGTGTCAGGAGTAAAGTCAGCTATAACATGGTTAATACATATTTGACTCAATCAACTTTTGGGGTGCCCTGCGTGTTTGAATTGTGACTCCTCTGTTTTTATACATGTCAGGTTTTTACCTGCCCCACCCAACCTTCTCTGCAGCTTGGCACCTGCCACAAGGTATCAAGAGCTGTCTGGAAATAATGTAACCCATCTTAATTGAGGAATTCTGACCCACAAATTTCCAAAACCTGCCCCCAATTATTTATTCTTGGCTCAACCCTGCCCCAAAAAGATCTCATCAAAATCTGACTTGTTTTGCGGACTAGTCACAGGCTATGAATCACCACTGCACCTGCACAGGACATGATGTCTTTTCCTATTTTATCCTGTGTGGTCATGCTGTGCATTCTGCTAAAAAGAGAAACATTGACTGAATGTTTTTAATGCATGTTTCAACACCTGAAATGCAATCTGTGTAGCCAAATTTATGGAAAAATTGGTGATTGATTAATTGCAGCTTTTCATTATACCTGTCAAGGGCATAGTTTCATAAAATGAGAAGAGGAACTTAAAAGTGGAAAATGACCCAACCCACCCTTAAATATGCCAACAAGAAGGTTTCTCCAGATTTTTTCCACTTTCTTCCCAAAGCTGGGGAAGGGACTGAGCGCCCCCCCCCCCCCCCCCCCCCCCCCTAACTGAAAAGGAAACTGCACTTCTAGTACCTATATATTTAATTGCCTTGGCTTTGGTATTGTCAGGAGCTTTGCTCATTGCAGTCGTAGCTGTGTGCTTTACAATAGCAACTGTACCACCCTTTCCCCTTAAGGTAAACTGCACACTTTTCCAGGGCTGCAGCCCTTACACTGGATGAACCCCCCAAACCATCCTGTCATATGTTTGTATGTACCAACAAACAAGACAGGGATGATTTTACCTGTCAAACCTGTCACTTTCCAACAGCAGTCAGACCACCAACTTTAGTGAGCTGGTACATAAATCAGTCATCAGTTACTTGAATGTCCAGTCACTGTTACCTTAGACAGACTCAGTGCTTTATACTCTTGTCAGCAAAAACTTGGCATGTGCATCACTTAGTGCTGTCAGGGATAGAATGCTGGTGTTTCCTGGTTATAGACTGGTACATTAAGACCCTCCGTTACAACCTGAGGCGGGGCTGTTGCTATCCTTATGCTGGGGAGAACCATGCCATGAGCATCCTTCCAATTACAAGCACAGGAGGTGCCTGGGAGTCACTCTGGGTGTCAATCCCTGGTGCAGGCACTGTTCTATTCTTGTGGGTGTCATCCACCTCCACTGTCTCAGCCAGTGATGGATGGCCTGGACAACCTATATAATCAACTGCATGCTGTTGTGGGGTCCTGGGTAAGCCAAACCAGTTCAGCCTGATTGACAAATATAAATATGTTGTGTGCTATGGCCCTTGAATGCAGTCATGGTGACTGTTTGGGACTGACTCAGTCCTGTCCCCATTTCACCAAGACGCCTACATACCCGGACCCGACTTTAGACTCAGATCCAATCATTGCCACCATTCCTGACCCAGAGTCACCTGTTCAGTTGTTGACTGAGCTGATCGCCAACCATCTGACCATCATTCGTGCACCATTCAGCCACCCCTGCTGTCATTAGACGCATTTCAACGTGCGTCCATGCGGGAGGTAAACTGGGATGCGTCCTGCTCCGATGTTCTGCAGGTGGACTGGAATCTAGTTTATCGGAATGAAGATTTGGAGCAGAAAGTGGTTCGAGTTCACGCGCGTGTGGTGGATTGGGATGGACGTGCACTGCCCCCCTAAAAACCGTATCTCTCCGTCGTCGTTGCCACTGTCCTTGGCTTGAGGAGAAGCCCTGACCTGCGACGGCTGATGCAGCAGCGCGATGACGCGTATCGAGTATGCCGCGAATCTGGGGCCGAAACCGACCTTTGGGTTCACCCGCCTTTGAAACCGCGTGAAGGGCTATTGCGAGGTCGATGCGAAGTTTCTTGCGCGATACAATACTCACCGACCGGGTTGGTTTCTGGCGAAACATTAGAAACTTTACTTTCCATCCACGGAGGGACGTGGAGATGCCACTGTGGACCTGCCCATAGAAAAGGCCGACAAATGTAACGGGCATTTCGCTTTGGTAGGCCGGGGCGTCTCCGTCGAACTGGCATGGGGCAGTCACGGCGGTCTCCCTATTTCACGTCAAAACTGCGTCCTACGACTTCGCTCGAACGATCGATGGCTATGAGCGAGCCGTCATCACGGGCGATGGGACTTGACGGTGTGCCTTACATTACATGCATGTCTTGCATAAATGTTTCCCTGTCGTCGGGCCACATTTGCTTCATCCCATCAACACTTCTATCGCCTCTTGTGTTCGATTCGTGGAAGGTTGTCTCTGTCATCCCACCTCACAAGTCAGGCCCTCGTGACATCGCTATTAATTTAGGATCTATATATGAATGTTGCCTATAATGTCCAAAATATGTGAAAAGTTGTGTGCATGCAGCTATCGTCCCACCTCGTTGCCCATGATCTTAAAGCTCCATCACAACACCCTTACCTTGCCAGAGGGTGCCTGAACAGAGGACGCCCTGGTCGACGTCATTGAGTGGGCGGTACGTCGGATTAATGCTGAGCACATTGTCGCCGACACTTCCATTGATCTAAGTTGTGCCTTTGATAGTATTGATCATGGTCTCCTGACAAGGTTGTAGTCATATGGCATTGATCTGAAGTAGTTTGAGAGTTACTTGCTGGTC